ATATATATATATATATATTTATGCATACATACATACATACACATACATAGATACATACCTGTACATACTTATATATGTATTAGCAATAAGAAATAAGCCACATTAAATATTTCATAGTGGTGTAATTCTTAAAAAAATAGATTATGGCCAATAAATTTCATGTTGATAATGCCTACTTTCTTACAATACTCTGTTCCTTACACAGCATAATACATCTTTTCTTTACTGGATATTTTTCTGTTACATTTTGTACATACAGTACATGTTCAATGAAAATACATTTTTGAAAAAAGATGTATAAGCAGGATTTTAAATTTTTAATAAACTACACTGGTGAGCTTTTATTAGTACAGACTCCATGAAAGTTGAGAATTTGGTCCATATAGTGATAATGTAATTAAGAAACACTGCCCTAAAATAATTTTTATAATTTTTAAAATAGCCACTTACCAAGGTTCTCTTTTTCATTCACACTTGTTTCATATTGATCTTGCAATTCCTGAATTTGTTCCTCTACTTGCCTCAGTTTTTTTTGCTTATCACGCAGGGTAGCTAAAGTTGCATCAAGTTCTGCCTAATTATAATACAAATTAATTTAAAGTATGGTTCTGCCAAATATTCTGTGTGCTTTATTTTATTCATTTGCACAGTCGCTTTGCAATAAAATAGAATACAGAAGAAACTACAAGTAATTATATATTATAATTACTTATAATGCATAATGTCATAAATTATATAACATTTAACACATATTTATGCTCACTTTGGGTCCAGATTCTCAATATTTCTAAAATCTAACGTTGTGAGCAAGGAATTCCACCCAAACCCTGTTCCCATAACCCAAGACAGGCTAAATATCAATGTAGGGAGCAGCCTTGTGTGAAGGAATCAAACAGCAGACTGGCCTGCCTCCAGTCTGATAGGGATAAAAAGTGTTAAGACTCTACCAGAGATTTTCATCATTTAGTTGCTAATAGGTAAAAAGAGAAGATACTCCTGATGAAAGTGGTTTGATTCACTATTTCATAATTGGATAAACAGATAAAAGGCGTCGGGAAAAAAACAGTAAGTACCTGGGCAGCATTTAACTTTTGCCTTTTTGGTTCGACAACCTTCACAACTCGAGAGTACAAATCCATAGCTCTCACCCACATGCACATAGACTTGCATGCCTTTGACACTTTCTCTACTTTTTCTGGTACAAAGTCAGGATTGTTTATATATTTCTGAAGCTTAAGTAATATTGCACCCTTTATATTTTCTTTATCATATTCTAGAAGCTTTTTCAGGAATGTGGAATCCCCAAGAAGTTGTTTTGCTGTTGCCCAGTCAGGCCTGAAAGATTAAAATGAAAGGATTTAGGAAGATCTGCAGTGGAAAATGTATAAGTAGAGCAGTATTATATGTTTTTTTAAAATGACCAATTTTAGGATGAAATGTATATTTAATGAACCTATAGGTGTATCCAGTATGTAGACTTAATCTTAATATGGTGAAAAGGTTAAAAAAATATATATATTTAGGCTTCTGATCCTAGGGAGAAGATATAATGGCAAGGGAAACTGAGCTGCTTCATGTTTCAGTTACTGTTTTGTAATATCATAAACGGACACTTCTATGAATTTCATCTAATTCACAAAAAAAGGAAAGTATATCCGGCTGCTAAAATTTCTCTTTCTTTACAGCATAGAAAATCTAACTACATCACAACAGGTAAAATATATATGATGTCATGATCTTGAGGCAGTCTCTTTGATCTTTCTTCTTCCTTGGCAAACACAAAATTCCTTTATGCTTTTTAAAACAGAAAATATGTTTTCATCCATATCCTTGACATACTCTAAAAGTAAATGAGAGTTTGATAAAATAGGCTACTGTCATTTTTGATGTAATACATAATTCTTGTTTAAGTAGAAATGGAAAGAGGAGAATTTACAACTGCAGCTTGAGGCATAGTTCTGCTGAGAAACTGAAGCGCCGGCAGCACTAATTATTCTATGTTTTGTAGTTTATTTACCAAATAACATTATTCCTGGGCTGCCTGCAATCCTATACCACACCCTCTGACAGTAACTATTAATTGTAGATTTTTTTTTCCTGAGTAAACATGTATAGGGTTACACTTTTTATATACTGTCATAAATAACCTGGAAACGTATGATTAACTACAGTACTTCAGTTATAGGAAGATTACTCATAAGTGAAATGCTCTGATTTCTCTTCTCAAAAAAGGATAGTTATCTACATCCCACATTTTTACTCATCAAGAACTCAAATTGCTATAAGAAATAACAATGTTGTTTTAAAATCAAGACTACTGAAACCATAAGGAAAACATCTAAGAAAGAAAAATAACTCCATATGATGGTAAAAACGATAACTGTACAGTTTTACAGTTCTCACAGCATTAAAAAGAGTATGTAGAATACAGACTCTGAAACTGGTATCGGTCGATGAAGAGAAGATAGCCTCTTAAGATCAGAAGTTAACAAACACACAAATAAATGGATACTATTTAGTAATTGTTATTGAACAGTTATTCCGCTTTAAACTTGATAGTATCTGACAGCATTTCTATTTACTCAGGGAGAGTCACAGCATTCAGTGGGACTCATTCTTTTGTAAATCTTATTAGGAGTGCATCTATACCAAATTAATACCCTTATCTAATAAACAAGTGTAACTGTGTAATATAAATATACATTATCATCCATTTACCAATAACACAACAATACAAGATGATAATCTTGATTAAAGTAATTAAGCTAATAAGTAATCAGCATAAAACATCAAAGAGGTGCATCTATTTAGGGAATCATATAGCAGATGGGACATGCAATGCTTGCTTAGCAGGGTAGAGTCAACTTGCAAATTCATTGTATAGGTCAGTTTTGTTTGCCATTTACAAAATTAAATTTGGATTACAATGAGGGTTTTTTCTCTTACTGAAAAATCAAGTCTTCTAGCAAATATGTAATAGTTTTGATTGCAAATGTCAATCATGAGAAAGACTGTGCTAAGGGCAGAATGTACTAGCTATGAGACGTACAGCCATCCTTATATTCTCTATAAAGTGAATCAAGACACAGGGGATTTTAGCCATTGGGAAGACAATCCGGAGAACTGTGTGGGCATTGGTTTTTTAGCAGGCTTAAAGGTCAATGAAATAGCTACGCCAACAGCCAGCTGAACAGCTAAATTACGAGGCTGTGCCACAACAGTTGACAGTTTGCCTAGAGGGAAAAATGTATAAAAAGAGCAGTAACTGGAACAGTCCACCAGCAGAAGAAACTTGAAAGGAAAAAAATAAGAGCAAATATTGAAAGGAAAAGGGGGTTGAAGTCACAGCAAATGTGAGGGAAGCAGTGTAGTTTGGTGATAGTAAATGAAGTCCTACTCACAGTGAGCTGGACTAGAGTCTTGAAGAGTCAGAACTCTTATCTTTAAAAATAATCTATTACCATGCCTTCCATTGGCTTTCCAATAACTACACTTCAGTGTCATGCATTTCTGGATTCCGTTGGGATATCCTTCAAGCAAACATTTCTTTTCTCAAGATTGCACGCTGGCTGCAGAAGACAGCTGTGTGACCTTGGGAAGAGGCGCTGTTGTTTTAAAAGCTGCTGAGAGGTGCTAGGTGAGCTCTGAAGCATGTTCTCCCTTTTGAATCTGAAGCACTACACAGCCCTAATATTTACTTGGCTGTGGAGGGGAGGGGAAGACCTATCTATAACTATTACCAAAGAGACAGTGTGATGCCACCATGTTCACAGTTTCAGCTCCATTACATTGGCTATTTTTATAGCTGTAGGGAAACTTGTAGCAGGGTGGCATCACATTTATATTGCCCAAGAGACGGAAAAATTAACTCATGCTAAAGAAAATTGCTTTTAGAAAAAGCATAAAATGAAAGCTAAAGCGAAAAGTCAATGCAGAAGATTAAATATATGGTATAGCTATCTTACTTTGCATTTAAAAGAATACAAATAGCTTCCATCACTGTCATGACAAGATCAGGAGGTTTAGTGAAAACCCTGATTTCAGAAATATCCGCCTTATCTAACGAATCTAAGGCTTTGTTGGCAGCATCTAAAGCTGGAAGGGCTTCATCCAAATCTCGCTGAGCATCATCAGCTATCGCTTGAGTTTCCTCTGCTTTTACTTTTGCAACAGCTTCATCTTCCTGAACAACACGCCGAACCTGGAAGAAAAAAAATCAATGTAAGTTTTTGAAGGAAAAAAAATTATTTTAAATATGTTTCATAAGAAAACAAAAGAGAACAGGTAGCAGTCACTGGTTATAGGGGAATTCATAATTTAATGGATTAGCTGAAATGTCCTTAAGCAACATTCTGCTCAGAACTTTCTAGCAGGCAAAACAGTGTATGCAGGGGAGTGTAAATGGGCCTCCAATACTACCTTCTCCATTGCTTCAAAGGGTTCCCCAGCCTTCCAGAGCTTTAAAGCAGATATAGGGATTGTATAACTAGAGAAATTGATGAAGATTATTTCCTTCCCCTTTCAGCCAGGAGAATTCTGGTGGGTCAGAAACCTCCCCTGAGAAGAATTCTAGTAAGTTTGCAATCTAATCTGTTAACATGTGGTAAGATATCACTTTCTTAAAGATGAAGGTTAAAAGTTGTGCATTGATAATGCTTTTCTTGCCCCAAACAGTCCAGATTGCACTATTCTTATTGGCAGAATTTAACTACTGATTTTAAAATGGGTGATCTCAATGACTGATGTCAAGAAACCAAAGAGGGTCAGACTTGGTTAGTACTTAGATGAGATACCAAGTAATGTAGATAACCTACATTAGGGCTGTAAGTTAAATTAGAAAGTAAAAAATATATATCCTGAAATGAGGCAATGACAAACTACTTCAGTATTAGTGTCATTCATACAAAAATAAAGCATATTTTAAGTTTAATGTTTATTAGTAGAGGTGCACAAAACATTTGGAACCATTTCAAGTTCAAAATGCCCATTATGAACAAAACAGATGCTTTGATTATCAGGACTGCTTTGAGTCTGCAACGCTTCCAGAATTATCAAAATAGCAAAGTGTCATATTTAAACTGCTGTTTTGCACTTGAAATAGACCATTTTGAACTTCAGACAGGATGTTTTAAATCTGAAATGGTTCAGATTAAAAATATTTTGTGCGTCCCCATTAGGTATTACAAAACCATTTGGCATCAGTGTTCCCACAATATACACATATTAACTTTTGTCATAATTTATAATACGTTGACTCTTGACTGTTTTTATCTATGTTACTTTATCTGCTGAATAGAAAAATGCTATCTGATAGATTCAGACAAAGGGAGACATACCATGGAGTTACACTGCTGAATCTAAAAATAAATATTAAAATAGTTAATAACTGAAAACCTAACAATTTATACCTGGTCAGCATTTTCTTGATCCACTGCTAATTTTTCCATCAAAGCCTCAACATCCACCGATTTCTCCTTGAGAACTGGTTCTAAAGCTGACAGATCTAATTTCATTTTGTCAACAAGTACATTTGTCTCTAACAGTTTGGTTAAACCATTTTTTACACGATCCCGAGCCTGAAAAATAAGCAAATAATTACTGATAATTGTTTCAGTACTTTGAAAAGACCTTATCTTTAAAAAAATGGATGTGGGTGGCTCTTGTCAGTAATACTGTGCATAATCATAGATTAATTAAAATAACTATAATAAAGATATAAATATTTTAATATGTATTTATCTTAATTAGCCAAATCAACACGTCAAAGAAATCACTCAACTGGATAGCTTTAGTATTTCTTTTAAAAAAGATTACCTTTTATAACAAAGAAAGTAAGTATTTCTATTAAAGCTAATATGTTTTTTACACTGTAATTGACATTCTGTTGCAACGTTTATTGCTTAGAGACTGTTTTATTGTGGTAGGTCTTAGGCTTCCTTGACTGATACTCCTCAGTCCGACCACGGCTCCCAGAATTTCCAACCAGAATGGTCCAAAGACATCTGAAGAGTGAAGAAGGCTAATCTATATTGTTGAAACAGGCTTTCAACAATCCAGTAAGTACTCTTCACTGATGGAATATCAGTGAACATTCCCACCCATGCTGCCATATCCAGCTGTGCCTCCTATTACTTTGCCGCATATACAATCTGAAGCTTATGGAGATTTGCAGTCCTCGCTCTGTATCTTCATATAGAGACCAGAATACATTGTCATTCATCTTACTGATTACCAGCATCTATATAGAAAATAACTGCACAAAGCTCCTATTATATGTGAAAAGCATCACAAAAACCAGTGACATACATGTTTCCCCTTAATGCAGATTGCCTTATTCAGAAATAGAGGAAATTAGCAAGAAATCCTAACATTTGAATTTTTTATACAGTCATACTATCCATGGAAATCTTTAGTAAAAGGCAAAAGATTTATACGATCTGAAGAGAAATCAGAATACATACAGTCATACTAAATTTAGATCTGAATTGGAGGGGATTATATTTAAACCAATTTGATAGAAAGAATACCCACACTCTCAATACTGAATAGCATTTATATTTTCACTACAAAAAACAATAGAAATAGTGTGCATGTGTATGACAACAGTGGGGTGAGGAATAAAACACACTTCTATACCTAATTCAATTATTCTTTTAATAAAATTCAACTTACTGAAACTAGTTGCTTCCTTTTTTCAGTAAGCATGGACAAATAAAGATTGATTAATTCTAAATAGGAAGTTGGTGTTGTATAGTAGCGTCGCCGGAGCTCTGCATAGTACTGCTCTGCCATCTCTGTTACACTCATGTGAATGTCTACACACATTACAGAAAGTTTCTCTTTCATTCGATCAGTTCCGAGATCAACATGCATAAAGAAAGTCCTTGATACAGAAAGAAGTGCTTCTCTGGGCCACTGAAAAAAAAGAGAAAATGGCTATCTAAATAATCTTTCTTGAAGTATATATGCAATACAGTTAGTCCCCAGTTTAAGAATGAGTTCCATTCCCGAGGTCTGTCCTTAAGTCAAATTTGTATGTAAGTCGGAACAGTATTATTGTATAATACTGTATAAGTACTATTGTATAATGAACTTGAACCATTGTGTTTTTAACTCAAATTTTGCTACAACAGGCTCCGTTCTTAACTATGGGTTGTCTGTAACCTGGGCAATCTTAACCCGGGGACTACCCACACAAATCATTTCTTTTCCAATTATTTCAGGAGAACTGTCACTTAAAGGGGAAAAGGAAGTGGAGGTCATCATTAAATTGTACTTAATGAAATATCATGTCTACTTTTGCATGGCATGAACTTAAGGCAGCTCCTTTAATTTATGATTTGTGGAATTTATAAGCAATACTAACATATTCCACTTGGAACACATGAAAACATTAATGCAAATTGACTATCGAAGTATATTATCCTTTTACTTACTACTATATTTAGCAGCCCCTTCATGGATCACTGCCTTGTCGTGGCGAAGGGGCTTGCGTAACTCAGT